TATTCTCTCAGAGCTTCCGCGTCGATATCGCGGTTAAGTCAATACGTTACCGTGGTCAGTCTAGCTCCTATCCGATCAAGTTATTCTACACAAGTAACGCCCCTATCATGCTTCAAAGTGCGCTTGTGTCAAACCTGTACGTTATGTCACAGGTGAGCTCTTTCCATCGCGTGTATACTCTCTAGATGCTTGCCAACAAATTCCGCGGGAACTTCCTGATCAATTTGCTTGGCGTGTGGTCCGATGGAGAAGGCGGCTCCAGATATCTTCTTGTGATGAATTGCATGAAGCATGAAACGAGTGGCACATTCGAAATTGCTTTCGTTTTCCGCTTGTGCAAATTTTGGGGAAGTGCTTTTGCCATTTAACTTTTTCACGGAGTTTGCACGTGTCTTTTTGGTAAAATTTTCACTCTAACACCACCTTCGCTTGAGAATCTCCGTTAGCCTGCTCTCCATCCCTGCGTTGCCGTCACTCTCGCAAGTGAGCCAGAGCAATACAGGCTACTCTGTATAGCTACCGATGAGCCATAACAGATGTTGGTGAATTGGGCGTCTATCGAATGTGCGGCGTGGCATGGAACGTCACACCTGAATGTCCTGGTTGTGCTTTTAGTGTGCGGGTTTACATTACGACCAGGTAAGCTATTTATCCAACTTTCCTGTCCCGTTTGTCTGCGCCAAAAGCCCCTACATTAAGGGTGCCATGCATTCTGCAACTAACAGAACAGTTGCCACGAATCAAATCAGGTCCCTGCCACTAAACCGGAAAAACCAGCGCAAATGTTTTGTTTTACTCGAGATACTCGAGCAAAACGCAGGCTTCTTTCTAAATCTCTCGGGGCAGCAAACAAGAAGAATCAGGCGGCTTGAACGAAAGCCAATAACGGAGTTTCTCCCCTGAACAAATACATAGCGCTATTTATCCCAGGTCTACCAGCTGCAAATAATGTCATCCAGCTCTCCGATGCGGTGATCAGGGCTATCACGACGTTCTTAGTTGACGGGCGCAAGAGGAAGTGCAGACTGATCATCTAGAGTTGGCCCTCCAGAAAAAATCACTTCAGCTTAACTGGCACGGTCGCTCCCGGAGCGAGCTCTTAGGATTCCCAAGGCTTAACAAACGATCGAGGATTGATCCCAGGATCTCCCTCTAGAAACACGAAAGCTGGGCTACAGAAGTCCAGGAGAAGTGCGAAACAGTCTCCCGATCGGCTTACGTTTGTCCGGACTCAAACCTACTGTCTGAGCGATGGTAGCAACGATCCCTTGTGCTCTTCAAAGCACGCCGACGCAATCGGTGGCAACTCCGAATCACAAGTTCATCGACCACCAGAGACAGTATTTCTCGGGAGGGAGCACGCCTTGCCTGTTCGCAGCGTCCAAAGTACGTAGCGCTATCATCGCTCATCTCCGTAGCAGCCGATAAGGGCGCAGCAGTGAATTCCATCCAAGTCAAACCTTCTCGGCTAGGTTGGGTCTGGTGTCAATATGCAAGCTGCGAATCATTCCAACGAATCTACCAAAAGCGCCGACCTCGACACAGCTGAATGGTACGGGGACACTACAGCCACTGAGTGTGGAACTGCCATTATCTAGCTGCACTCCGTCAAAAGTGGCCTGTTCAATAATGGACACAGTCGTCATCCATGACCCAAACAGCCAAAGCCATAAACATGACAGTAATGAACCGGATAACCCTTCGTACACCCAAATGACCACGCTGATCGCAGGCGGCTCGGGAGTCCACGCAAACACGAAAGACAGGCTACTCTAGTCAAACAGACCGCATAAACCTTGTGAAATCTAGCTTCAAGTTGTAGTCCTCTGCAAAAACAGGCCTCAGGGGAATGCCACCGAACGGAATACTCTTCGGTGCTGCTGCCCAACACATTGGGCCTCACAGAGACACCTTATCGTTTAAACCGCACCAAAATGAACACCCGTCCATAATCGCGTTTACAAAAAACTGGCGCACACCAGATATCTCTGACGCGGAAATCTTAATAGAGAGCTACTCCACCAATTGTTTAGCGAAGCTCGCTGAAAAGAGGGCTACCGCAATTTTTAACCCTATTCAAAAAGTCGGAGGGCTGGTAGGGTTGCCTGATATTCACATTCAGCAACGCACATCCCAACTGTCCTCACCGGTACTACTCCTACGTCATTTCGCGATGCTCTGTGGATCAAAATCCCGCCACACGAGACCGATTTCCTTCTCGCTGTGGCCGCCCGCCTCTCCTCGGGTTCTCCAAGGCAGTTACTCAACTCAGCAAAAGCCGATAAGTGTCCGCTAAACGCCCATCAGAAAGCCTATATCGGTGTAAAATGTGCCCATCATATCGCGAGGGCTGTTGTAATTTTCGCATCCTTACGCATTCGCTCGTTGCAGTAAAGCTGTTGTGTGCCGTGACGATAAGTCTTTCTCTGACAACGAGCATTGGAGCAGCAGTCAGACGCCCGAAGCAACGTAACCATGACAGTGACTCTGAAGCATTGAAATAAATTCTGCCGCAACAACAAAATTAGTTTGAATCGGCGCAATTACCTTTGGTGGAAACATTGGCGCAGCAACTTCAAATTCGACCACCAAATCCAGCTCCATTTGCAAATCCAGCCGGTTCAATCTGTAGTACCACCTCGCAGTTCCATTATGACACTGCTGCCTGTCTAGTCTTCGGTTTGTGGTTCAGACGTTGCGAAGATGTTTTCAGAGTCAAAGTGAAACACAAAGGTGATGCCTAGAGAGTACGCTTATTGTTCAGAAAGCCCGGTACAACAGAGCACACGCTATTCAAACTTCATCACGCGAAAAACAGGCGACATCTCAGTTTTGATAAAACTGTTCAGTAACTCTCAATCATTTACAGTGAGCGTTCGTCTTTGTCAAATGTCCGCTAATAAAGTATGAAACTTGCAGAAAAGGAATCCGAAGACTATGCCACTTATGCCGGGCCAAACTTGAATGCTAACAATTCATGTTACTAACCATTGCCGAAGACCAGCTCAACCGTTCTATTCACTAAATTGATCTTCAGTCGCATTCATAGAGTAATGAAAACGAGACTACTGAACAAGTTTGAGCAAACTCCCGAGATAACTTTGCGGTCAACGCCTTTTGAATATTATACGCAAATTGGCCATGTTGAAGAGAGCTTTATCCAGCCCTGCTTCCAGTATTGTCAAGACATCATCGAAGCAGCATCATGTGGTGGCGAATTCGAAAGAAACAAAGCCATCATTAGCATGCTGGCAATGCGATGAATAGCACTTCGCGCGATTGCGACCCTATAAAAAGCACAAACTTTCAGTGGACAGTCCACGTGGGCGTAAGGGAAGCCAGTGCCGGAAGCCAAAGTCTAGTCGAAGACGAAGTCAAACCCGGAAGTCACGAAGCAAATGGAGCCAGTCAGAAACACGCCCTAACGCAAAAGTTACCACATTTGGCAGCCAGTTCGATGCTCGTCGCAAGTACGATACAATCAGAGCAAACGGAAGCTCAATGCGATTGCAGCTTGGCACGGCTTTAGATATTAAGACTGCTTCCCAGCGTATCTGAAGACAGATCGGATCACCGAAATTCAGACCAATTACGAGTTTTGTCAAGAATCCTTCATGTTGTAAGCTTTAATTGCCTGATGAACCGATTTTGAGACGGAGATAGAAGGTCGACGTGATTGACTTATTTTCCATCTTGCTGCTTATGTGCTCCATCTCCCGGGCATAGCATGCATCAATCGCTTGCATGTCTCAACACTGCCAATCAAAAGCTTATGTACGTGAACACTGACAGGAGGAAAGAAAACATTCCGGCCTGGAAAGCGCATGCCTGTGGATGACCATCGCGTCGAGCACGGAAGATGAACTGTTGGACTCGTCCTCAAAAGAAACAGTCGGATGATTTAAAGCTTCCTGGTTGGATCTTTGATATGGAAGCGACGTCAATCAGCTGCGGGTCATTGATTGCCAGATCCCAAGAGAGGAAAAATAATTAACTTACATAAACCCGCTGCTTGAAACCTTCGCTCTCCTAAGATCAGCCCGGTAGCCACCCTTCAAAAGTACCGCCCTAGACGGATCCATTGCTGCAACCGAGACGCTGTACCGGTCGCGCCAGAGGACTGCTGGGACATGGTCAACTGGCCCCCCATGGCATCTTATGTTGAACGATCAAAAGCGGGAGGGTAAGCCTGCAGGCAAATAGGTCAGTTAATCTTTCAGTTCATTGATCAAAGGACAATGAGTGTACAGGCGCGCCATAGAAGCACAACCGAATATGACCAGCGTTCGGGTATTCCATAGAAGAACAATCGATGTTTATGAGTGTTCACTGCACGCCTATCAAACAGCTTGGATCAATGTCAAAAAGTGCCCTTTAGCGGCCATTGCAACGTTTGCACTCACAGGCATTGTTTGTTGCAATGAAGCTGTTGTGTTCCTCGTCTGTGAGTTTTCCCTCAGGCACCGGATTTTTGACCAAGAAAGCAGTCAGATGTAACACCATCTACCCCAGGCTCTGAGTGACAAAGATGCCGACATCTCACCACACCCGTCAAGCTGCGACGAACACGGCGACGTTATGAAAATATCAAAGACGCGACTTTACTTAAGCTGACATCAACGCAAAGGCCCATGGATTACGTTATTCCCCAGACTGAGCCTGCTGTGACGGCGAAATTCATTAGCTCCATTCCTTCCTATGGATCCATATATTGAAGTAGGTTCGGCCACCCAGTTGATCAAGAACGATTGAGACCATGTATCCATGAGTTCTCCCAGACTTTTAACGCTACAGCCGTTCAGCTCTCCCGAGCCCATTACCATCTTCGTGGTCCGAATCACACGTAAACGACCTCTTCACAACAGCCGACAATTTCACTTTTTAAGTAACCAACTTTTGGTTATATGCAACCTTGTACCAGATATACTCTACCTACAACTCCAGTGGCCATACCGTCACTGCCAATCGTATTCTTCGGTCTCTTTTGGCTTATGCTTAGGCCATCATAAGGACCGTCTCTCTTAAAGGGCTTGCGTTGCACCCCTCATCACCCCTCCAAAGGCGGAGCTTTCCACTCCTGCCTTTCACTCCCATACCAATCGCTGGATTACTCGCACCAACTAGGACTCACAGATCTCATTTGGCTTGCAATGAACCAAATTAACTCAGTCAGGATTCGATGCTTTCCTCCCACAAGTTGTCCTTCCGGGTAGATGGAATCGATGCAGAATGTATTCTGCAAGATTCTGTGAACGATAACGGCCAATTTTTCTAAGCCTCCCCTTCATTGACGAGATATTCACAGAAGTCACCTTGTAACCAAAATGCACGCTGTCCTTCACGCTGAAGTCTCGCCTATTATTAGTGGTCTTCCTCTGAACGCGAACGCTATTCCAAGAAGAAAGGCTTCCCAGTTTCATCAGCGCGCTACTTTATCCATGTTCACTACATAATCCGGAAGGCATACCATCTCGGACCATGTCCGAATATAAGTTTGCATTATAGTGATCTTCATCAGGCTCCTAAGAGCACATCACTTGAAAGATAAAAGCAGAGCCTGAGAAGGATACTCCCCAATACATAATCTTTCGTCCATCACTTTGCTATTTGGAATTCCTCACTTTTCTTCTCTCCCTGTTTGAAACCCTGCATGAACTGGCATTTGTTCGTCGTTAGCAATTCAGTCATTTGACCTTGAGAACAGCCAATCATTTGTGGCTGACCTCATGCAGATGTGGCTGTCTCACATTGGGGAATGTTTCCGCCTTTAATTTCTACTTTTTTAGTCCAAGTGGACCATTTGGTGTGATGAGTATCCAATATCGAGTACTGTATAGAAACACAGCTCCAACTTTGTTTCGCCTTCCTGATTGCTGCGGTATTACACGTCTCTTAAAGATACCGTTTGGGGGTTTCGCCGACCCTCCCAAACACGGAAACCATCCAGCCATTCAGTTACCCGTTTTGGAAGGCAAATTGGACAAACGAGCACCAAATCTCCACCTCTGAAAGTGCACAGCTTACCCAAATAGTTCTCTTGCAGTCTACAACCCTAGTCAAAATCCAAGATCATCGCCATGTCACTCGAGACGTTTAGGTGGTCCCAAACGTTACTGAGACCAAGCAACTCGCCAAAATCTAAGTGAAAATTTACAACTATGAAAACCTAATAAGCAAGCCTAAACGTCGGCGCCATATTCATCCATCGTTGGCAGCTTTGACTTTTTGGTCGATAAAACCGAGCCGTCTGACTCGTACCAAGAATGCCAAACACCGGTCATCGCCTACGAGCCTCCTTCCTGCTTACGCGCGGGACGATTGAACCTACCGAAACTATCGTCGCTTCTGGCGAGCATCGCCACCCAAATTTGGAGAGATCGGTAGTCCCCTATATATTAGCCCATGCAGCAAAGCGGAAGCACACTTAATGTGTGAACGCCTCTTAAGTATTTGGAAATGCGATGCCACACCCCATCCCTTTGCTCCCATCGAAATCTGGCTGGGGTTTGCAAATGCTGTCGTGTTTCAATGCCAGTGTCCTCTTGTATGCTAGGTCCGCTGCGTTCCTTATTCTTGCTATCGAGTAAAAGACAGGAGGCTTGCTATCTATGTAAGGTCGACGTTTGACTCTCAAGTTAGAAATCTGAAAACGATGTTAGGGCAAAGATCAGAGTTTCACGGTGTTTAAGAGATTAAACTGGTTCCAGCTCATCAAAACTAACCTTTGATGTTAGGGAAAACTGCTAGCCAATGTGCAAGACACCCGAGTACGATGACTGCTGAAGCCAGAGGATAAAATAAACCGACTGAACCGCGGTTCTTAAAGCAGCGAAGATCGGACGAATGACTCATTTGAATTTAACCACCGGATGAGTGGGCCTAGTTAAGAAGCAGAACGGAAAGAAGGGGCCCTTGTGTGACCGAGACAAATTATGCTTGTCACGAATTCGTGGATCACAGATGCTTTCAGTGCTGCAGTATAGTGCTTTGTTTTAACGTCCATCCGTAGATGTTTTACTATCAAATTTGCTAGGATGAAACCACTATTTCGCGGCGTAACGGGTTCCTTGGAATTAGCAAAAAATTTATGAGAAGGACCAACATGACAGAGGTTGTGGTAAAGTTCCGAGTCTTTTATAGGGGTGGAGCGTCCGGTACATCAGAAATCGGGAAAACAAGTTGCCACTCCGAGTCATAAGTGACTAAATCAGCCAATGCCGCCACATCTGTGATAAATGTTTGGGGGAATGGGAGATGGGGGCTGGTGGGTTGTCTTTATGTGAGGAGGCACTGAAAGGCACCGGGGTTAGGACGATTGTGGTTGCTATGAAATGCGCCGTTCTCAAATACTCAGTAGAAACAGACAGACGAGAGCAGGGGACAAACGAGTTGATAAACATTGTGAGTTGAGTGCGATCAATGATAACGCAGTCGGCATGAGCATGGAAACGGCCACCGAGGTAGAATGGCCTACTGGAAACGATATCAACTAAGTACAGAAGTAGATATGGTCATTCAGTGTGAACGAACCGTGTAGTAAGATAATGGCGCAGAAAACAATGATTACGTTCGGATGGTAAAAGCTGAACTCGGCTGTCGACGGGGTGCGGTAGGTCATGTCAGGTGACGGATCGGATTGCGCGCTCAGGCCCGTTTAAAACAAATCCCAACAAAAGTGATCTGGTAAATGCGGTATATAGGTTACACAAGAATGGGGTCACCTGAGGCATCGAGTTGGTGTAGCGGGCGACGCACTCGCTGACCACCCTAGGAGTTCTGATTTCGATCCCCGATCCGTCACTTTCCCCTTTCAAGGCGGGCGCTCAAAAATAGATAGAGCTGACACGATGTTCCAACCAAAGACGGATAGGAATAAGTGGACCTTAAGTACAAGCAAAACAGGAGAAACGAGTGGCAAGGAAAAGATGGCGTAAATCACGCTACACACATAGTCAGAGCACAAAAGTAAATAGCAGCCGATTACCAGTAAGTTACTGGAGGGAGTAACGGCTAGGGTTGCCAGTGATCTGCAGAGACCAATAACAATATTTATTCTGAGGTGGCTGGTTGCATAACTTCGGGCGTGGTCATACCATCACAGTCAGAGTAAAGCAGCAGTTATTTCAGCTTTCACTTTCACAAATACATGGAGATTATCTGAACCAATGCAACAACAAAACGGGTGAGGCAAAACAGAGGTCTTGCCCAATATTACGGGAAGGATGAACTGAAATTCTACTGAAATCGCTAGATCCGGTGGAAACGTTGAGTGGATTTGAAAGAGATAATCCTAAATGCGGCTTTGCCCAGGTAAGCGGTTTATTTATGCGCGCTGCCGGGGTTTTGAGGGAACGAGGTTGGGTCGTTCAGTGTGGGTTCAGCGCAGTTGCGGTGTGCGATCAGATTGGGTATGGCATTTTGGTTTCTGGATAGCCCCGTAACGGATGGGTGATGAAATCGGACCAGATATGTGATATTCTGTGGGCAGCGGGATTATGAGTTAACCAGAGAGATGCACGTAGGCAGAACAATAACGAAGTAGGATCTCAAGTAATTTCGGTTCGGTTGTGCGTTCACGTGGATGTAAATTGGGTTACAAGTTAGACGAAACTTGACCCTAGGTGGCGTTTTAATAATAGTGATAATAATAATGTTTATTTCCCAACTTGTGGGTGGCATACCTTCGGGCATGATCATGCATTTACAGTCAGAATGGGGCATGTGACTGGGGGATTTGCGGCTGGTGGGGATTCCGCGAAATGGGGACGACGTTATGAACAGTGAGGAGTATTCGATGAAATAATGATAACAGGTTTCTTTCGCAACCTGTAAGAAACAATGGGCATGAGGTCCGACTAATTAAAAGACTCAGTCGGTTGACATGAACTAAAACTAGAAAACCATGAGTGACCTTGGGCGGTCGGGTAAATAGCCGGAGTCACAACGAGATAAAGTGGAGGTGGAGAGGCGATAATTCGAATTGGGAGAACATGGCAAGTTTAGTCTCAAAATATGGTGCAATCTGAGAACAAGCAGACCAACTGGTTGCACTGTTGTAGGGAAGTTAAATGCTGGGGTTAGG